TCCTGGTGTCGGACTCGGCGCGCACGACGTGGGCCGACGTGGAGGCCATGGTGAGCGCTGCCCGCCCCGCGGGGGGGGCGCCGCCTCGCTCTGCCGCGGTGGCCGCTCTTGCTTTGCTGTAGGCGGAAAATTCTGGGCCCGGTTTGCATTGATGTGGAGCGAAAACTTCTTTTGGGTAGAACTTCTTGGGGGTCGCTTGTTTATTCCTCTGAGCAGGCGGTCCTGGCTGTGTGCTCTGCTGTTTTCCACGCTTACAGATAACTGCTTGTTTACGCCTGTGATCTCCCGTTCTTTTTCCCATTCAATAGATCTGGTGAAATAACTTTTTCTGTTTCTTATAGCGCACTTTTGGGAAGACCTACCTTTGCCCTCTGCGGTGCTGAGTTACTAATGCACGTTTTTTTGTTTCTTGTTTCCTGGTGACTCACGTGTACTAGTTTAGACATAATTATTTATTTTGTTAGTAGATCACGTGCACTCAGACACTTTCTTATGAAGCTCTGCATTTTACAGACTAGGCAACTATTCTGAAGAGTTTCTGTTTCAATATTTATTTCCAGTGCTGTTTAGTGAAAACTCTTGCACTGGATGAGCTTGACACTGTGCAGTAAGGAGTCTCTTGATTATGAGGAAGTTGCAGTAATTTTTTATTGTTTGTTTTCATTCTGTAGTAATTGTTCAGGTTTTTATTTAGGTTATTCTGAAAGTTGCATCTTATGAGGTTTTATCAATATTTTATTTTTCTTTTGTTTTTTTTTTTTTAAGCTAATGTTTTCAGTGCATCTCATGGCAGGTTCCTGTGTTGTGTATTACTCATTTTCAGAGTTTGAACTGTATCGTATTTGCTCCTCACTGTATTTTAGTCTCCTAGAAGAGGATATAGTTCTGGGCTGAAATACTTGATGGCAAGTAGACACTGCAGGAATGTCTGGACTAGTTGGAATCCTGAAAGCAGGTCTCTGTGTGAACATGGCGTTGCCCTTAATCTTAGGTAGTAAGAGAGTTAGGGTGCATTTGTTTAGTGTGGTGTTTGCTGCAATAATGTTGCTTCCCTACCCAAGGAAATACCATTGTATCTTTTTGCACTGCTGTGTAAATGTGTTGTCTCAAGACAGTAAGAGCTAATCTGTTTTACTGTATTGTTAATGCGTCTGGTATCTGTACAGGATTACTAGGAGTCTAGTTCTAGATTGTCTGCTACCACAAATTGTTCTCAAAAAAACTCAGTGCAGAGAAATGCTTACAGCTGTAGTTTCTTCTTGGTTCTCTTAGCATACTCTCCCAATTACTAATAAGTCATTTTGGAAGAACCTGCCTGTAGCACATACACTCTGTAATGGTCGTAGCAGCACGTGAGCACGATGGAATAGCTATGTAAGTCCCAACCATTTGTTAGTCTTCTAAGGCTGCTAGTGTTCTTCTGTTAGGTCCAGGCTAGCAGAAAGTATCTCATGTGTAGCAATCTTTTTCTGAAAGAGTTTACTTTTGAGGAAAAATAAGGTTTATATTGGTAAATGACTTGAAAGCACAGACGCGCCTCAAAGACTGTTATTCAACACAGGGAAACAATTGTCTTTGCCTGTGGTTCATTTGATATTGTTGAGCTTGTCCTATTAATGCCTGTCCTATTAATGCAAAATACAGGAATAGCTTGTTCTCGTTCTGAGATGTGTAATGTATCAACCAACGAGTAATAGAATGAGCTACTTTGCTCTTTTTGGTACTTGAATTAAGCCTAGTTTCTCAAAGCACAAATAGTTTTGTGAAATAAGGCTGCTCACATGCGTATCCTCTCTTCTAGGTGCTCTTTTACGTAAAAGTTAATGTTCAAGGATTATTGGCTTTAGCCTCTGTGTATTGGAGTGTTTATCATGACTGAGTTCATTAACCCTGAGCAAGCCCTCTTAAAATGAAAAGACTTTTAAATGCACTTGATTTGGTGGGGGGGTAAACATTAACTAGAGAAAAACTAGGAAAGAAATTTCTTTCTTTCATTATAGAAAGTTAGTAAAGGTTGGAGGAAGGCATAGAGGATAATGTTGTTGGACTTCAGAAAAATGTAGGTGGTGGGAGGATTTAAGCTATTTTCCCTGCTAATCATGATTAACTGAGAACTGCCGTAGTCCTGTCTCATTGTTTCTTTTTCTTTTTTTTTCTTCTTATCTCACAGGTGAAGGTTTCATTTGACTTGAGCAACATTCAGATCAAATATGTTGATGAGGATAATGATGAGGTATATGTCTGTGTGTGTATTTTTTTTTTCTTGCACATATCAAAATATGGCTGGTGGTGTGAACCTTTCTACTTCTTGATAGTTTGTAGTGGGTCCCTCAGGAGCTTAGGTTTTGCAGATCAGAGGTGACTTTTTTTGTCCCTTTGAGAAGAGAGTAGCTACTAGTCTTCTGTTTCCACTCTTAATATAGCATTCTTATTTTAAAATTATTCTTTAGAAGTTACTGCCTTTCTCTTTCCTACCACTATAGTCCAGTAGAAATAGTGGTTATATGTGCTCTGAGGAAGGGATGCTTCTGTTGAGGTGGGTGTGGGTTTTTTGATTTTTTGTTTGTTTGTTTTTTCAGAATCAGTTGTAACTGCTTATGTTCACAACCATAGCAAAGCCCTATCTCTTCAATCTATACTCCTTCCCCTGAAAAATGTAGGTTCACTGTCACTTGCATATGTTTACTTCAGTGATCTGGTGTGCTCAAATCCTCTGCTTGTTTTATACCAGCACTATAATCTCCAAGCAGATTACTGACTCAGAAAGGAAATTGGTTACTTTTAGTTGTCCTTGTTGAGTAACTTCCTGCTTGGCATAACCTCTCCGGCTGATAGGCTTTCTGTTTATTTAGATTAGAACGTAGCTCTCAAACTGAACATTACTTCTGCAAAATCTATGTTCTGCTGTTTGATTCAGAGCTCTAAGTTGTGGAGATGGCAACTTTTTTTTTCACCTAAGGGGAAACGTCAGGATCTTTTCAGAAACGTTTCAGGGAAAGATTCTCCCCTTATTTTCTAATCTGTATCTATACAAATGTATACCTGCATCTGTTTAAGGGCCTCTTTTAAATACTAATAGAGTAAACGTTCTGAATCGTGGAACGCTGTAGTGATTAACTAGTTTCTTGTATTAGTAATTTCTGTGCACGTGGTTGATAAACGGGCACTGGTAACTGATGGGGTTGGCTTGTATCTAAATCAAGAGAACAGCAAGTGTTGCATGCTGGGCATTAGTACCACCTGGGTCCAGTGTATAGGGAGCCCATTAGTAGTTGCAGAATCTTCTCCGGCTTATGTATAGTAGATGAAAGCATGCTTGTTCTGGATTCCATTAGTGCCAGGGACTTCACTCATTGTGCAAATCTAATAAAGAACATGTTCTGCTCCAAAATGTCACAATACAGGTTAATAGTTAAACATGGCAGTATCAGATAACAAATATCTGAAGGAAGACAGGAGTGGCATTTTAGAAACTCTGAATAAAAGTCGGTTTATTTTGAAAGCGCATTAAACTTCAAAAGGAATCACAGAAATTGGATCAGCAGCTCTTACTGCTTTTTCTCTTTGCAGGTCTCTGTGAATAGCAAAGGTGAGCTACTACTTTCCTAAAGTGAACCCAGATTTGTAAACAGACCTCAACTGTTTAGGTTCTTGAAGAAGCAGATGAGAATGCTTGCTGGTTGATTATGGGTTTTATCTATGACTGGGGATCAAATCCTTCCCAAAGGAAAGAGTTTTTGATCTATAGGAAGTGAATTTTTTGCAAATGAGAAGTACCTGAATGTAATGTTAAATCTGTAGGCTGTGAACGCATGTTTGCCTGTTGCCATATGTACAACCTCTGTAAATTATTTAAAAACAAAGCTAGTGAAGGAAGAAGGTATGAAAGACATTCCTCAACATAAGGCTTCCCAAATATCATATACTAAAATTGCATGTATTATTTGAGATGGGGGGAAAATTCACATGTTTCTTCTTTGTTTTTCTTTAGCGGAATATGAAGAAGCTCTGAAGGTAATTGATCTCTTTGACCTTTTAAATATTTTAAACCTTCTCCTATGAAAATTGGTGTAGCTGAGAAAATCCAGTATTACCTGTGGAAATCAATTGCTCACTCTTCTAGCTTTGGCTGTTGACTTGAATGCTGCACTATGTTTTTTCCCATCCAGACTAATTTTGATTTGTTTGAGTCAGTTCAATAGGTAGTTGTGATTCAGGGTCATGAGCACAAAATTCATTGGCCAAATGACTGGCTTTTTCAAATGCTTAAACAGTAAACCTCTGTGTTTGAAGATGTTAGGCTCTTACAAGATCTCTTTAAAAATCTTGTCGTACAAAGACGCCAGCTTTGTACTTTCAGGCAATAAAAATGCCATTGGTAGAATGTTTAGTCACTTAAGCAGTTAATTTCTAGGCCAAATAAGAAGTGCGTTTCTCTTATAACATCAATTAGTATGATACTAGTATTTTCAGAACTTTCGTTCATGCTCTGAATCTCTAATCTGAAAGTCACTTGAAAACACTCATAAATAAAAACTTACTGCAAGTTCTTGAACAAAGGTTCTCTGTTTACTGGCTTATATAAACAGTTTCATTATAGACTTAAGTCATGCAGAATATCTGCCTAACTCGTCACTTATCATAAACTTTCTAAAAAGCAAATGAATAACTTAAAGGTAGAATAAAATACCAGCTGACTAATTTGACATGTTAATCAATTTTCTTGGGATTGTTTACCCTCAATTTCTTCAGTGCAGTATAGCGTTACATTTTTACAGGATTTTGTATGTTACTCACCAACTGGAAAAAATAGTGTGTATCATGCACTGTTTGTTTAGATTGCAGTTAAACAAGGAAATCAACTCCAGATGAATGTGTACGAAGGAAACTCTTCTGCAGAAGGAACTTCATATTCTTGTCCTCTGCAACTGTGTGAAAAAGTGGTGTCAGAGAAGTTGGCCGTTCTTAAAGACGGGAAGAAACCTCTCTCGCACTATTCCATGATAGCTCCAGGGTTAGAGGAAGATGTGAAAAATGAAGAGGAGATGACAAATCAGGTAGGATGCGGAGCTGGACTATGTATTCATTAAAACAAATAATTCCTAAGTGTAACTCACTTGACAGACTGGTTATTCTCTTTACCCATACATGAAAACTGTGTTCAGAACTTGGTCATCGTTTGCAGCTATCTGTACCGTTTGAAGATAGCAAAATTCAATATCTTGAAGAGGACGATTTGATGCAGTGTTTAGAAATACAGATTATTTAATGCTGACTGTTCTTGAGTATTCTGAAGAACAAAACAGTCAGACTCCTGAAGCCCTGATTGCCAACTGATAACTTCTGGTTGACTTTATTTCTTTGGCTTTGATATGTATTTCACTCAAACGCTATAATATGGCAGAAATCTTTCAGGAAAACAGTGGCTGGCTTGTTTGGCTTTTTCACTGTTTTCCTGAGATCTTGAAATGCTGCTTGGGGAAAGCTACTTGAGGGGAGAACTGTTTAAAAGTGGTTTACTTGCTGTATTGATTTGTTTGCAGCTTTGCATACTTAATATTTGTGACTTCTTTTTTTTTTCCCCTCCCCCAGGAAAAGTTAAATCGCAATAGAAAAGGAAGAAAAAATGAAAATCCTCCAGAATGGTTTACTAGCTACTTGGAAACAGTACGTGTGTTTTCGTCTGAATTTTAGCATCCTTGAAGGATTACATAAAAGACTATAGGTGGAAAAGATGTTCATGATGTCTAATTTTATACAGCTAATCACATTTGCTCTCAGTACTTGTGAGCAAGTTCTTAGAGTGCATTTAGGCATCTAATCCCATAACTTTTGTGGAGGTAAATGGAAATCAGACATGGACTGTCTAATAGATGCCATTATGCCCTTAAAGTATAGGTGCTACCTTAAAAATAAAAATGGGTACATGCCATTTCTTGGCACACGTGGATTGTTTGGTTTATGCATTTGGTAGGTTTGGATATAGTTTTCAGGAGTAGTATTTTTGACAAAGTAGTTGAGTAGTTGTTTAGTTGTTCTTCTATTTGGTGTTTTGAAATTCCTGTGCTAGAATCCATGTTGTATTCCAGACAGCCGTAGGAACTTTATGGGTAGTCATCATGAGATAGAGCATGGAATAAGGTGGTGTTGCTTTTGGAGAATCTTGTTTGACCAGTTTCAGTGGGGTAGTACCAATAGTTAGGGTTTTCTGAGATTTGAAGCACAGTATTTAATGACCTTACTTTTCTTGATTGTTCAGTTTAAGAAAATACTTTTTGAGAGGCCAGTGAGTATGACCTATAGATTGATAAAACGTAGGTGTTAACTTGTTTTGAGTAGCTAATAAATACCACAGACTGGGAAGCAGCTAGCTAGGAATGATAAGAATTAAGCTAGTGACTTCTTGAAACTTAAAGGTATGATGATGCAATAGTATATGCGTTCATCTTTAAATTTTTTTCTAGAGTTTTCCCTTCCTTTGCAAGCTCTGTGTACAAACTAGAGAGCTTTCATGCCTTGGAGAAGAAAATGGTTGCATTTAAAATGTTATTAGTGGATGAAGTCAGGACTTAGAGATGAACAGAGACTCTAGAAAGGAATGTGGAAGATGTGTTAGTTGGTCTAGGAGATTCATGTGCTTCCTTCTGTGTGAGGCTATGGAGTTATTGTAATATTGTAAGCATGAGTATATTAACTTAAACCTGGCTTGATAAAACCTGAGGGCTGGTATTTTCTAAAATCCACATCTTTGAGGAACGTGATACTTGTTCAGTTTGATCTGGAATGTGCTGCGGGGGTTGGACTCTGAACCATATGAATCATGAAGCGGGAGATTTCAGGCAATGCAGTGTGATTTCTGAAGCTGCATAGGTAAGTCCCATACACAACTACCTTATTTTTTTTCAGTTCAGGGAACAAGTAGTTAAGGAAACTGTTGAGAAGCTTGAACAGAAGCTGTATGAGAAGCTTGTTCACCACAATCAGCCTCCAGATTTTTCTGAGAGCTCCATTACAGCAGCACTTCCAACTTTAGAGACAAAGTCAGGGAATGGCAGCCAGTGTGACTGGCTGATCTCCTGCTGCAACTGTCAGGCCCGAATCGTTGGAGTCCGCTATCAGTGCAGGTAAAACATGATAAGAGGTGGGTGTATGGGAAATCTAACACTTAAGACATGTGAATGAGAGTTTGAGAAACTATCTTGGTGTCATAGATTTCCATGTGGCTAGTCTGTGTAGTGTGATATGCATTTTGGAACCCCGGGTATTTGTCTCATAAACGGCTTATGTTCTCAACTATTGTGATCAGTCCTTATCTGTATAAGATCAAGATTAATAGTGCTTTAATAAAATATGAATATTAAAATAATGTAAAAGAACTTTAACATTTTTGTTATATCCTCAAAAAGTATTCCTTTGTTAAGCATTTAACACTAACGCTGTAATTGTAAAGGAAAATGTTTCAGTCAGTTCAGTTAACTTTAGGAGGGGAAAAAAAAGTGGATGGGGGAATGACTTTCTTATAACAACCCATCTTTAAAAGTGCATTATTTATTTGGTTCTGCCAGTCAGTGAGATTAAGACAGGTCATGCTGACTTTCTTAATACATTCTCTGTTGTCAATTAGTTATTAATTACTTATCAAAATACAGTTCCTATTAAGTGAGATGTCTAAAGTGAGGTTTTATTTGAACGAGGCAGTTGCTATAAAGATAACTACTTCAAGTCTTGGCAACAGCGGTGACTGGGATGCCAATAGGGGTTTTCCTTTGGATGCTTTTGTTATTGGCAGCTATCTGTTTTTACTAGTCTTGTTCCTGCAGCACTACCTGCTTTACATCCCTGAAAGATGGATGAAAGCTTCAGTTGACTTATCCTTTGTTTTTTCATATAATGCTATTTCTGGCACTGCATTTCAGTATGATGTTTTATATCCTTTATAGCAACAATCCATTGTCAGTCACTTGCGCTAAAGAAAGCATCATGTTTTTCAGCAGGTACTCAAGAAGGAAACGGGTACTGTCTTGTAGCTTTGACAAGAAGAGAGGTTCCAGATACTGATGTCCATCTGAGAGCTAACTTCTGTTTCACTCAGTTGCTACTTACAGTGATAGTTTGATACTGAGTCTGTTTCTTGGGCTGATTATCCTTCCAAATCTTTCTGTTGCACTAATTCTTTGTGTGTGTCTCAGTAATCTTCTGCCTTCTCTTCTTTGCAGCCTTTGTCCAGCCTACAATATCTGTGAACGGTGTGAAGCAGGAACTTATGCACATGATCCCAATCATGTCTTGTTAAAGCTGCGAAGACCTATACTATGTGTTGCTGAGAATTACAGCCTTGCACAGTTTTCACCTCAGCTCCCTGCTACTCTGGAGCAAGTTAGGTAAATGGTGGCATGTGTCAGTCTTTAACCAGAGTATTCTGATAGCAAAGTAGAAACACCTGCATTTGGGGTGCTGTTCTGGTTTTTATGAGTCTAGATTTAGAGAGAGCTGGAACACATGGAAATGGCGCTCTGAAAATGTAGCGTAAGCAGCTGAAAATAGCAATGTACTTTATAAATAGCCAAGACCAAGACTCTTAATGGAGCTTTTAATAGGAAAATAGAAAAGAAAGTTAAGTTCTCCTGTGTAGTAGAGATGTTTACACAGATCCTGTGTAATAGGAGGGATCACAGACTTTGAGACCTTGCTGTTTCTTTACGAGTAGTGTATGCTAATCTGCCTTTAAGTTTGCTCTTTCACTGAGGCTATGCTAAGTATCTTCACCCACCAGCCACTATGAAGATATTCTTTAAAATCCCTGAAATGACATTCCCTGAAATGTTCTCTTTGAAACTAAGACTGTGTTGGCTATAGCTAAATTATAATCAACTCAGTATATTGTAACAAGGTGGCTTACTCTCTCTGCAGGCTCCAGAAACAGATGGACAAAAGATTTCTGAAAGCAGAAAAGCAAAGATTACGAGCCGAGAAGAAACAACGAAAGGCAGAGGTCCGAGAGCTCAAAAAGCAGCTCAAATTGCACAGGAAAATTCATCTGTGGAACTCTGTCCATGTCTTGGAAACTAGTGGTTCACCTACTCTGAAGTCTGAGAGTCTCCAACCCACTACCTTCGTGTAAGGGATGTCGTTAGCTGAGCATTTCTTAGTTACGCTAAGAAATGATGGGACCAAGTTAAAGTAACGGGGAAAATCATGAAATCAGTAACTCATTTAAAGTATCAGTTGCGATTGGGTTCCATGAGAATGTTGTTGAAGTGAAATTTGCAGGGTAGAGGATTTTTCCTGGGAGGAGCGTGGGACAAACGGAAGAAAGCAACTGATGTTTATTACTGGGAACTTAAAACAGATTTATACAGATGTAGGAGGAGGCATGCTAAGGCTTATATATACACACGTGCTCACATACAATATAAATCAAGATTGCTGCTAACTTTAAAGAGTCTATATCTTCCTGCTGTCTTCCTAATTGTCTCCTCTCTAAGTCAAGTATATTCTATGTGCTTATGTTCTTTTTTTTTTATATATATGAACTTAGGTTGTGGCTTATTAGGCAACAGCCTTCCATGCAAGGCAAACTGCTTTACGTTTTCCCATCTGCTTGGTTTTATGAATGTATAGGTATAAAACTTGTACAGTTTCTTTAATTCATCCTATCCAATGAGCACATTTTTGAGAGTCCAAGTAGCATTTATAGTTATTTATACTTGTGGAGAACTTAAAAGAGCCATTTTTGCTTCCTGTCAACTCAACAGAACTACAGGAACAAAACCACTGCTTTCTTGGGTCTGAATTCTTTCTTTTAGATGTTTTAAAGTTGGCATTAATATCAGCTGCTTCACCAATCCTTTTTTGCTGCACCCAAACTGACAATGAAGCTATTACACCCATTTTTGAGCCCCCTTCAGGCGAAAACTGTGACATCCTACTAAAAAACCATATTGCTCGTAATGCCAAGGTACGAGACGCCAGCAGTGGGCTATAACCCAGTCTTTGATTCAACATCAGAAAGATAGTGACTCTATTTTCTAACAGAATAGCCATTTTAATTTTAGCTGTTAAAACAGCATGAAGTGAAGGCTGCTAAATTTGCTCATGTGTTTCCTGAGCTGCATTGAGTTTTGAACCTGCCTATCAAAAATAGGGAAAACACATAGTAGGGAATGGGAATTTAACATCTAGTTTTGCCTGTGGCTCTTCAAGCACCTGCCAGTTTTTGTGGTTTAAATGAAATTTTCCTGTTACAGATTAGTTAATCCCATTAGTGTCTCTGTGAAGACAAATACTGGAGTCCAGATGGAAGAAAAAAAGAAGAATCTTTAAGCGCACTGCTGAACGTAGACCAAAGTGCTGTAAGGCTAAATCAAATCAACTGAAGAGCAAACTCTTCTCTATTGAACTTGGATGCTGTAATTATAATACGTAGTCTTCCAAATGGCCTTGTTTTGATGTGTTCAAGCAAAGGAAAGCACGCTACTATGCAATGTTTAGAGTTAGGATGGAAAGAGTAGCAAAAGTGTTAGAATTTTGAAGCTATTCCACAGATTGAAGAAGATGCCTAAAATGGAGGAAATTTAGTTAGTGAAATAACAGTTTAGTGGCTTCTGCAAGTGTGTCTCTCTTTTTTTTTTTAATCTCTCCCCTCCCCCCCCCCCACCCCCCCCCACACCAAATCACAGGAATCCTAGCCAACCATTCCAAGCAATTGTCCCAACATTGAGTGCAGTATTTGTGGATGAGAATTTGCCAGATGGGACTCACTTGCAGCCAGGAACAAAGTTTATCAAACACTGGCGAATGAAAAATACTGGCAATGTGGAATGGAGCTCAGATACAAAGGTATATTTCCTTTGCTATTGCTTTTACACATTAAATAGTTCTGGAATATGTTTGCGTGTTTTGAGAATTTGAGTTCATGATTTCACTTGGCCTGTTAATTGTAGGGTAATTACATTGTCTTAGGTGCTGTTTTAGCTACAAAGTATGAGAAGGAAGCAATCAAGAGGAACATAGCTGAAAAGGTCTTCTGGTGCTGTTCTAATGTTACAATTTAACCTTGTTATAATAGGTAGCTTGCATTCCTGACTTCAAAAAAGCCTTTCCTCTTTGAGCGTAGATCAAGTACTGAAAGATGGGTATCTTCTCACTCTGCAGTGACTAGGATTAGCATGGGAAACTGCAAGCTTCTCTACAAACTGTGGGGATTAAGGCGCATTCCAGGTTTCTCTGCTGAGAGCCCTCATAGATGCTGAGCCATGGAGAAGAGAGGCTGCTGGTAAACTTGATCTTTTTGCTTTTTCTTTTTATTTCAGCTGAAACTAATGTGGGGAAACTTGACCTTGGCATCTTCTGAAAAAAAGGATGTGTTGGTACCATCCCTTCCATCAGGACAAGTCGGAACTGTTTCAGTTGAGTTTGTGGCTCCTAACATAGAAGGAACCTACACATCTCACTGGAGACTGTCACACAGAGGAGAACAGTTTGGGCCCAGGATCTGGTGCAGTATTATTGTGGATCCCTCCTCAGCTACTGACTCTCTAGAGAGCAATTGGAAGGATTCTGACTCCCATCAAAAGGATAAAGCTTCCAATAACAAGCAGGCAAGTTTCTCAACCTGTTCTTGGGGCAGCTGTGAATTGCCTAGTAGGAGGAGCAGCTTATATTGTTCAGTGTAGCGGCTGTGCCTAACTGCATTGATCTTTTGGGATTCCTTCAGTTGTTTGTTTCTTTTTTTTTTTTCCCTCTATAGAAAACAGAAACATGACTCTTACTGCAGTAGTAAGTTCTGAAATGGTAATTTTTTTCTTTGACAGGTGTGGGATTGATTATCAGAGTGTTGCAGCTGTTTATCTAGTTCTTTGATCAAACTGAAGCATTGCAGGGATCCTCTTTGCTATATTGAATCTTGTCCTTATGGCCCTAAAATGAGTTGAATTAATTTTTTTCAACTTACTTATGTTATATGCAATGCTTAGTCTTTATGTTTTATGCAACTGTTTTATTTGCTATCTGCCTAAGGTGCTCTAGGATACTCTTTGCTTTTGCAGGATGCTTCCCTGAGGACAGAGGCAGATGACCAACTGATGGGCAAAGTCATAGAGCAGGCTGAAACACCTCTACCAACTATTCCTATAAAGATCAGAAATCTGCCAAGTGAGAGAGAATTTTATATCCCATCAGTTGATCTCCTCACTGCACAGGTAAAGTAATAGAATCCAGGTAGAGATTTAAAAAAAAAAAAAAAAAACAGAAGCTAGTGACATCTTGGTTTTGATATAGAAGTGCATAGACATTCATAAGAATAAATAGTTTGAGCTTTAGAATTGCTGCTCTGTTTTCAGGATAGTATTATTGCATTTTATATAGCAGAACTATTTCCCTGAATCAGTACTGGCAACTGACCAACTGACTGGCACTGTGCTGAGAATCGTCTTCTGTTCTGCACATACCTTCCATGATGAATTGCTGGGTTGGGTCTTTCTGTACCCTTTAACAAGGGAATATTCTAGCTTTCCCTCTTCTGGCCCAGTTTGTATACAGTCTTCTATGATGCAGATGGACCTATGACAAAACTGCCCTCTGACAGAGATCATGCCAAGTACCTAACAAAATAGAGTAGATTTACTTGTAAGATAATGGGATTTGATGTTGGGAAGTACCAGATGGGATTCCCGTTCAGGGTCTACTAATTAAAAACTATGGAATTTCTTTCTGTAGGATTTGCTGTCCTTTGAGCTATTGGACATTAATATTGTACAGGAATTGGAACGAGTGCCACACAATACTCCAGTTGGTAAGGGCTTTCTGATATTCTAGGGTGCTGTCTCTGCAGCTCTGCATTACTATTTACTTAAGAAAAGCTGAACTTGTGCAAAAGGCTTATTCATGTTTCAGGCTAGAGCAAGTGTCTTTCCAGTTCCCTAGTTTTCTTTCCATTTTAATTCTTGCTGCAGCCCTTGAAGAGAGATTTGGTGGGTCTTCATGTGTTCAGTCTAGACTTCTTTCCCCTTTGCATCCTCAAGATCATAAGTTTCCCAGATATTGAGGAAGGCAGCTATTTTCTTTGCTCAGCCAGTGTAACGTAAAGCAAGCTGTCTTGTAAGGTAACTGAATTTCTTCAGTCTTGGAACAAATATCCTTAAAAAGGGTTAGCTTCTTAAAAGGTTGCCTCCTAGAAGAGGGAAAGAAGGTTCCTACTCTTCTAGTACCAATTGTCTTTGCTGCCTTTGTTTTTCAGACATGACTCCATGCATGTCCCCTTTGCCACATGATAGCCCATTGCTGGAGAAACCTGGCTTAGGTCAGATAGAGGAGGAGAACGAGGGGAGTGGATTTAAACCACTGCCTGGTAAGCAGTAATGGCTGGAAGCGGGGGAGGAGGGTGTCATAACTTTTGTGCAGTCGTCAGGCTTAGCTTGTTATAGTTACCTAAAGAATTCTAATTCCTGTTTTTTCTTTCCTTCTGGAAAAACAGATGTTTGGCTCACAATGCAGTCTCTGACAACTCTTTGACTGTAGAGGTTGGAGTCTAATATAACTAAAATTCAGAAATATTAATTCTATTGATTTGTCTGTTTGCTAGAATTGTTGAGATAATTGATTGAAAACTTGCTCTTTGTACACTGAATTATACTCAAATGCTCCAGCTCTGGCTTCCATACTTCTCAAAATTCTTTTCACATTCGACTTGAACTCGGAAGTCTTTCAGCTTTGAGAAGGAAGTAACACTGAGAATTGAAGTTAGCCTTTTTACAAGAAGGGCAGCTTGAGGAAAAAATCTTCTCGCATTTGCATTGCCTTGTAGTGATACTAAGTTGTCACCTTTCTCTTTCAAAGGAGTGACTGAAGCCTGCTTTACTGCTGATGCTTGTATGGTGAAAATGAGAGCCGAGCATTCATTGAACCCAGAAGAAGCGGAAGAAGATATGAGTGGGACTCAGTTTGTCTGTGAAACTGTCATTCGCTCTCTAACCCTGGATGCTGCACCTGACCATAAGCCTCCACAAAGGAAATTTGTGCAGAGTGGGTACTGTCAGCTAGTTTCTGTGGCTTCACTTTTTTGCAGCCAAACACTCACTGCAAATTACCTTGGACTGCTGGTGGTGATATTATTTTAATTGGTTTTTTTAGACTCTTTGCAGACATTGGAAGACACCTTCAGTTGTAATGCACTAAGTGAAGAATCTCCTAGAATAAAAACTAACTACACTTCCGAAAAGGAAGCAAACATCCACCACTCAGACACAATGAGAGAAAATGAACGTGGTAAGTAAACTAGGTAAAGATTTAGTCTCTCTTTTTGAATATAAGATAAAGCTATAACGGGGCTACAATGCATTCAGATATAAAAAATAAAAATAAAAAATCTGACACTGTTCTAGAAAATTGATCCTCAATACTGGATCAGAAAATTGGTATCAGTATTCTGAACATACAGCAATTTTAGCAATTTTCTGTTACATAGTGAAACTGAGACACAATTCCAGTGAGGGGTTCAGATGATAGGTGTTCATACATTTAAGCATGGCTGGTGTCTCTATTTTGTGCATTTAGCTTCAGAGTACTCGCTGTGATCTATTTTTGATGCATGGTGTTCAAGAGCTGGAAACTGCTATTTTCTAACTTTTCAGTGTAGATGTTACTCCTGGTGAATTCTGCATAAATTTAATATTATCTATTCCTTTTTTCAAACTTCCTTCCTCCTTCCTCACCCTGCTCATCAAAAATGATACTATTAACATCAGCAGCAAGGCTTTACAGTTGTTCCTGAATGCTTGTCTTTTTTATCCAGGAGAGTACTATCTTTGCTATTAAACAAACAAAATGAATGTGTTGGGGTTTTTTTAATGCTTAACTTTATTCTTTTTTCTTTTTAAGAGGAATTCCCATTGTCTGATGGGAAAGCAGCCTGTAGTGAGACTGGCAATTCTGATGATGAAGATGATGATGCTACAGATGTTCAAAGTCAAGGCTCTTCTGCTTCATCAGAGGATTATATCATTATTCTCCCTGAGTGTTTTGATACCAGCCGTCCTTTAGGGGAGTCCATGTATAGTTCTGCTCTTTCTCAGCCCAGTTTGGAAAAAGCAGGAGAACCTGAAACACAAGCAGGGAATCCAGAAGGAGGAAGCCAGCCACAGATCCACAGCATCAGTGATATTTTGACAGCTTCACAAACGCTGGCTGTAGTACCTTTGACCCCGGAGATCTTGGACACTGTACCGCAGACACACAAGTATGCATTTTATTATCTGACCAGAATAAAACGGTTATGTTAGAGTTGTTACAGGCTCTGCAAGATGTTGTGCTTAAGTTCAGTGTTCAAGTAGAAACTGTTGCAGCAAAAATGGTCACATATGAGTGAATGTCCTAAATCCTAGAACTTCTTATAAGCTTATACTTGCTGATTCCCTGAGCCTATGAGGAAGAAGGAAGGGAGTGTGTTTTTTCTTCCTACAGATCTTGACTTAAGTACTTCCAGTGCTCTTGTTCTACACATACATAATTGCTTGCCTTATTTTCTCAGGGATCTTGCTTCTCTTCAGAAGCATATTTTCCAAGAACCAAACATACCAGCTTCAGAAGATGATTCTTCCCCTCCTCTTGACCAAATAAGAGAAGGTATTGAAAGTGCTTAACAGCTATGTCTGTACCCTTATCTCCTACTCCTTGCATCTAGTACTGGATTTGGTGTCCTGTTATTCTTGAAAGCAGAAACTTACCAAGTAACAGTGATCAGTTTTTTTTTTTTTTTTCCCTGAGCATTGAAATTTTACCATACAGAAGCCTTAAAGAAATAATTGACTTTGTGGATCAGCTTTGAGAAGATGGTGTGTTCATTAGAAATTGTAGGAGAGCACCCATAGATCTTTGCAGATGTTTGGGAAATTGAGTTGCAGAGGAAGGTAATGAAAGGGATCTCATGAGCTAGGTGTTTAAATTGCTGTTACAGTCATTGGGCGCTCAGGCAGCAATACATCTGCTGTTAAAGTAGACACCCGTTGACTAATCAGCCAAACTGTTTCTGAGATTCTTCTGACTGTATTGACTGTAGTGAGAATCTTGGACACCTAGTTTACATCTAGATAACTAAATTTGAAAATATTAATAAAAATATATATATATGTGTATGTATATATATAATGTTACCCCTTTTCAGCTCGTTGTTAACTGTATGCATTGCTGGGTTTTTTTTCCCCCCCCTCCTTTAGAAGCCAGAGGTGAAGACAGTCATGGGCCAGGATCTTCTGGATTTGTAACTAGTAAACCAAAGTGCTCAGAATACCCAAGGTAATGAAACTGAAGCAGTTTTCACAAATACTGTTTATTCCATGGCTCATCTCTTAAGATAAGAACTGCTAAATTAACACAAGCACCTAGCAAAAAACACTGGTTTAGAGATCTCATGTAGCCAGTATTTTTGGAGGAAAATATTTTTGGTGAGCAAAAGCAGAGGAAGACAA